AGTGACTCTGCGTAGTGGGCAGGCTGCGGCTCAGCGTGCTGCGTGTGTCAGTTGTACCAGTCTGTCATGCTTCAGTTCCTATATATAATTCAAGCTGTATTAGGAACGCAGAGGCGCATCTACTGGGTAGGGACACAGCTGTCGAAAAGAACTAAAAGTGACAGTTTTCAGACCGTTCGGCGGCAGACAAGCACCTGGGCAGCTTAAACTAGATGCCTAATTTGCCTGAACTAATTTATATTGCAAGACAAGTGGCCCTTGGTGTGTTTGCAGATCTCTTCCCAAGAGCAACGAGATAACCTTTTCGTGAGATGTTTTTATACGCAGGCAGTATTAAGAAAACTCAGTCTCGCGGATGGCCGGGGAGCCAGTGAAGAGCAGCGCCTGGAGGTGCCTCCGGCAAGTGCTCGTTTTACCCTTGAGTCTTCAGGTTCACGCTCAGGAGGCTCTTGGTCCCTGCTTGGCCAGGAAAAGGCAGCTTCGATGAAGACTGCGCCCTTGAGTAGACGTTAGATCCATATGTGTATCAGCCATGATATGTGGCTGTATATTGTAGTAGTGATTCTGTTGTACTGAACGCAAATAAATCAGTAAAACTGACATCATGTTGAAACCAGTGCTGTGTTCACGTATGGCTTTGAAAACCTGATGAGTGTAAACAATTTTTTTTTTTTTTAATTGTTAGCTCCTATATTAGGGCCGTACTTTGGTTAATCTTTGTGGTACTACACCTCTGTGACTGAAAGGCATTTTTTTCATCATTTGCACCGCAAGAAGTGCGTTGCCAGCATTTTTCTCTTGCCAGCGTTAAAGGGCTGTTATGATTAATGCAGCAGAAAAAGCTTGAGAAACAGAAGTCTTGTCAGCTCTGAATTACGTTCACTGGAAGCACCCCTCGAAAACAGCATTCACTCTGTGTCATGAATAGAAAATAATGTTAGAAGACAGTTGCGTTTTGTAAGCAAGGGCAGCAGCTGCCCCTGGGTAGGTAGCAAGGAGTTGGATTGCTGCGTGAAGAAGACGCTGGGATTACTGACTGCGTAACCGCTGTGCTGGTGCGTGCTTGAAAATCTACCTGGCGTGTACTGCTGCGCTTGGAAACGATTCATTTCTTGTATTTTCTCATTTGGAAAAAAAAAATAAAAAGACTTTATCACAGGATGTAGAATAATCCCACTGGTTAATTCCTTTCAGGTATCTGCAACGGGGTGATAAATAGACGTAGGAGGGCTTGGGCGCAGAAAGAACCGGCTGCAGATGTTAAAAGAGTTAAAATACAATTTAACTCTTTGCCGCTGAAGTAAGTGCATCTCTTGGAGCACGGTTTGCCGCTCGGCCCGGCTCCAAGCAGCGCCGTGGCCACGAGCCAGACG